GACAAACCCCGGCCAACCACCTTCCCGTAGGTGAACATGGCACCTTGAACGTCTTCGCGGCCGGCCGCGGGACGTGTGCTGTCTGCCGACGATTGCCGAGCCTCGAGCCGATAAGAACGCGCGGCGAGGTGGGGGCGGGGCTCGTGGTAGTGATGAGGCGGCGAGGCGACGGGGGTGGAGTGCGCTACTCGGTGTCGTAGGAGTCATCGTAAGAGTCGCTGTCGGAGTCGCTGTCATGGATGCGCGCGAGGAGGGCGGTTCGCGAGAGCGGGACCTTCTGGACGACGGTGGCGGGCGCGGGGACACAGGCGGCGATCTTGACGGGCTGGGGAGACTACGAGACGGACGCGGGCGGGCGTGTCCTCGGGGGTGGCGGCGAGGAGAATAGAAAACAGAGGAGATGGTCTGGGAGGTGCCCACAGTCGGTGCCGAGAGGTTTCTGGGTGCATGTTGCTCGTTCTATTGGCGGAGCAGACGGCGGATGCGCGGAGAGAGGACCGTGACGGCGGGCGCTTTTGCGGCGATTGGCAGAGGTTAGACCCCGTTAGATGTGTGTAAGAGGACCACGGCACATAGACCATACCTTCGGCATTAAACCCTGGACAGATAGAAAAGTTACCTTCCTTGAAGACGACGCTGGAGGCGTCTCCCGCGTTCTAAGACGAAAGTCAGTATGATACTAAAGCGTGGTAAAGGTTGAAAGCGCGCCTCAGCATCGGCAACAGCAGCACGCGCCTGCGTGGAGATCTTGTTAATGATGCGCCTCCCGACGAAGCATACGCCGGATACGAGGATAACAGTCACGACAAAGTCGCCCAACCCAACCAGCGGGGAGGGGGTGGAGCTGGGTGGTGCGGAAGACAGAGCTGGCATGTGGAGCAGATGTGGATGTAGCTTTTAGAACGGAAGAGTGGGAATTCACTGTTCTTCCTCCCAGAATCGCTCTTCCTTTCGTTAGGCGGACTGCGAAAGGAGGTACCAAAAGTCGCAGGTCTTGCGCAGGTAGGTATGTAGGTAGGTATATTCCGGCGCGGTCCCGCTAAGAAACAGCAGGAAATAAAGCATTCGGGCATCCTACTGCTTCCGCCGGGTGTCAAACGAGTCTCAGATACGACGAGATGCACTGCGAGGTTTCTTTTCCCGCGGACGGAGGACGGAGGGAGGTCTCGGACAGAAGTCAGCGGTTGCCATTGTCTGGGGTTAGACTGAGATTCGGAAAGGGATGGCGACCTGGGCAAGGTCAGGTCGTCCAGGAAACTATTCAGACAGGAAACAGCAAGGAAACAGAGAGCCCAGCAGATCGCTGTCCATTTAGGGAAGAAAGCGGACCGATTGGCCGAATTCTTCTTGATCCGAACCCCGAGTCAGTGCCCCGCCCGCCGGGCCCGTGTTTACATAAAGTACTCGAGTCGGAGCCCCGAGTCCTCATCACTCCATCTTTTTCTTCTTCACCACTCACTCGCTCGCTCGCTCTCGCCGCGCGTGTCCATTCCTCTCCTCAGTTTTCATTGGCCGATCTCCACCCCATGGCAGCGGAACCCGGTAACAATGGAGATGCCTTGATCCAGATTCTGGAATCCAGCGCAGTTGCTGGATTCGCGAACAAGGCAAAAGAACGGCCGAATCGTGTTTCTCCGGCCCTGCAGGATAACATAGCCAGAATTCCTTCGGAACTATACGACTACATCATCGACCACCTCCACGATGATCGACTCGCCCTATCCGCGTGCACCTTGGTCTGCAAGGCGTGGCACGCATCGAGCACCTACCAGCTTTTCCAAAACGCGGGCACCATACGTGTCTACCCAACCAATTTTCAGCAATTCCGCGAGCTGCGCATACTCGCCGGCCAACGACTTGATCGCTGCATCGGACGCCTGGATGTCCGGAGCGGCTCTCATAAGGATGTAGGTGGCCCGGAGAACGCATTCCACTTTACAGACGAAATGAAAGGATTCCAAGGCCTCTTGAACGTGAAATATTTGCGCCTTACGGACCACACCCACGCCCACTCTTACGAGACACCATTCACCGCCATTCTACCCAACCTCTCGACCATCACTCATTTGGAACTCGACTTATCCTTCGAATCATTTGCATATTTCCTGCAACTTCTCGATACTATTCCCCTTCTCCGCGGCCTCGCTCTCCACCGGCCATTTGACCAGACCGTTAACTCTGAACCCCCAACCCCCCCACTCCGCCCGGTAATCTCGATGCGCTCGTCTTGGGAGACTTTCCCGTGACCACCCTCCTCCACTGGCTCGTTTCACAGCCGTTCATACGCCGTCTCGCAATCGGCCCGCTGAACTATTCGTTCACAAGCCCGCTGCGTCAGCGAGCCCGAATCGCCCTCGTCTCGGATGTCCTGCGTACCCTAGGGCCCCGCCTCGAGCACTTGGTCATCTCCAGTCGCTTCCTACTCAGTGGTAAGCCGACATATCGCTCTCCCGGGTGCACTCATAATACCGCTGCCCAGGCTGCGACCTGTCCCACTCGACCGCCCTGCGCACGCTCCGGATCAATAGCATACAAACCCGTGGGGCATGGCTCCTCGACCTCCTCAGCCAGATCCGGACCCACGTTCTCGAGCGCATCGTGCTCGTCGTTGATCTGTGCGTGGGCGTAGGTTTGCACACCTTCGACTGGCCGCGCATCGTTGCGAGTCTGAATAAATTGGAGAGCCTGCGGCGGGTTGATTTTTTCCTCTTCAGCCCCAATGAATGTGCCGTTGTCGAAGAGAAATTGGGTGCGGGGATATATACACTGCGTGTCACAAGCTGGGAAGGCTCGCAGCGGCCTCAATCTAATTACGGCCTGGAGATATTCGAGGTTTAATATTTACCGATCGAGCAGCCGGCAATTCGTCTACGCGGGCGAGTAATTCGGTCCCGAATTTTTTCTCCGAGTGTTTGAAGGAAATTGCCACCTCGTTCTCGACCGTGTTGCTCGCCGTTCCATATATCTGAGGCTGGAATACGGGAGGAAATTTGCTGTTGACTTTCTGTCGCCCTGTCTCTCGTATGTGCTGCGGCATCTAAGAGACTGGCGCCGAGTTGCAAGGCGAAAGGGGTCCTGCATTCGTGGGATAGTTTTTTTTCAACATATGTATCCGTGAATATACTCGATGAGGAGGGATATTGACACAGTGCAACGGACCAAAGACACGAAACCATCGAGCCCTAGTTTATTGCCCTAAACATTGCACAGCGCTGTGACTACCAATGCCCAGCTTTCTTCGGTTTCATCCGAAAAGTTGTGCTGTGCGACCACCTGGACCTGGACCGTGCGAATGACGGATATAAACACCTTCGTGAGCCACCATTTCCACCCCAATCCCTTGCCGCTAAATATATTGATCCAGGCCGCGAGGTTTTGATGCTTTCCACTGGTACATCGCTATCTTTTTCCGCAACATCAGAAAAAAACCATCGGCTTCGAGGTAATCATCCGCCCCTACCATCCAGACTCACTTCATGCTTCATATTTGCGGTATCCTCATGTTCCTTCTTCTATGTACTAATTTGCGCGCCATTCTCCTTGTGTTCCGCGTCATATTTACTTATCTCCTTCTGTATGTATGACTCCCTATGTGTATAGTACGTAGCAATTTATTCGAGACCTCTGCGGTTTGCAGAGGGTCACTGTTGACTACATCGGCGTACGGTCTAAAACCTACAGAAATGTGGGCAAATTGGAGAGCAGTCCATCCGAGGTAATACCACACCCCGAATTACTGAATGATTAGCAGCAGGTCGATGTCTAGAAACCATGCCTCCGAGGCTCGATACATAACAAGGAAGACTGCAAGCGCCCGGAGTTGATAACGCACGCAGAAGGATACGGAAGACTATCGCCGGCGGCTTTTGACGAACGGTGTCGCCAAAAATCAACAGGTGCAAAAAGCCTTCAACGGCGTGTGCGATATGACTATCCCCTGGTCTGAATGCTGTGCATTGGGCATCCTTTCTTCCCACAATCGTTGAATATGTTCCAACGCCACATATAACCATCCACATCCTGCAGCGTAAGGGGTGTATATTCAGCAGCAGATTCTCCCTGTCGCTCGAGCAGCGACCATCAGTGCACAATATGCCGTGGCATAAATACTAGCACGGGATGTCATTCCCTTTCGAATCGTGTATGAAGATCGACCGTCTCGGTGGCCGAAATCAAAACAGGAATGGAAGGATCTTGCCAGGCGAGCCATCGGTGGGGTGAGTTCGAGGTCCAATGGCCATTGCAGGTCAACAGCAATTTCAGAGGTTACGGTGATAGGATCGGTCGAGGTTTCCAGTACCCATAGGACACCAGGTACTGTATTTTTTCATTCAATTTGACTGTCACGCATCACTCCCCCCTTGCTTGATGGCGAATATTGGTATTTTTCATGCATCACCCACCCTCTGGTCGAAGGCATTTTGCGTCATGCGGCCCTCGAAATTTCCCAAGATCATGTCTGTGACATGTAAAATCGAAAATTTTCGTTCCGGTGATTGAAATTTTCACTTGTATCACGCGAAATTTCGGCTGTGGTCGAATGGTCGAGTCGGTATTCTGAGTCACGTGTCACCCCCCTGGTCGGATTGAATGAAAAAATACAGTACCTCAGGTGATGGTGGCAAAAAGCCCGGAGAGGGTGGGAGTCCGCCATTGATGCCGTGGTGGGAGATGTATGTGATACAATACAAAGTAGAATGGTGGTGTCCGGCGCAATGGAGCGAGACCATGTCCTGAACACATTTCTGATCAATTTCAAAAGTTTGATGATGGGATTGAGGATCATCAACGCGAGTGGGAATAGTCATAGGAAGACCTGGTGGTGAAATGCATCATACCTGCAGCCCATACTGTTTGTCCTACCATCCGCAAACAAGAGTCCCAGGTTCGAATCTGGGCTCCGCCATGTCTTCGATTCAGTGCACTTTTTAATGTGATGCTCTGCCAGAATTTTTCCCAAAAGAAGGGGAGAGTAAAATGAGTGTTAAGGAAGGTAAGAAGACCTGGTGGTGAAATGAATCATGCCTGCAACCTATAATGTGAGCTAGTAGGTGCGGGAGTCCCTGGTTCAAATCTGGGCTGGGTCATATACTCACACCTTTTTCACTGGTGTTCCGGCTGTATTCACGAAGAAGAAAGAGGAGAGTAAAATCAGTGCTAAGAGAGAGGTAGGAAGACCTGGTGGTGAAATGCATCATCCCTGCAAACTATACTCCGTATTCAGACTGAGTGATTACAAGCAGGATTCCCCGGCTCGATTCCGGGCTAGGTCATATTTCTCATTGCCTCTGTTTTGCCTGGTGCTGCACCTGAATTCCCGAAAAATTGAAAAATAAAAGCAGTGGCAGGAGGGAGGCAAGAAGACCTAGTGGTGACATGCATCATGCCTGCATCCTATATAGCAGCTGAGATTCAGGAATAGTTAATGGGAGTCCCCGGTTCGAATCTGGGCTGGGTCATGTTAAGGAGGAGCCCCATTTTTTACTAGCACTCTGCCTGAGTTCCCCAAAGATATTGCATACAATTGGGGTAGAGAGAGAGGCAGGAAGACCCAGTGGTGAAATGAATCATGCCTGCATCCTATCCCCAGTTCTCTATATCGGAAGCAGGTGTCCCCGGTTCGATTCCGGGCTAGGTCATATCAGGTTTCCATCACTGTTTTTGACTGATGCTCCCCCTGAATTCCCCCAAAAGTGGAGGGCGAAATGAGGGCGAGGAGAGCGGTAGGAAGACTTGGTGGTGAAATGCATCATGCCTGCAAACTATATTCTAAAAGTGCATGTCAAGGTAGGAGTCCCCGGTTCGATTCCGGGCCAGTCATACTTGTGAAAGTCCCATTTTTTACTGTGCTCCACCAGAATTCCCTTAAATTCTTCGATAATTAGGGACGAGAGAGAGGTAGGAAGACCTGGTGGTGAAATGTATCACACCTGCAAACTATATTCTTTGATTCTTGTGAAAGCAGGAGTCCCCGGTTCAATTCCGGGCTAGGTCATGCTGTGGTGGAACCCCATTTTTACTAGTGTTCTTCCAGGATTCCCAGAAGCTCTTGCATACAATCAGTGCTAAAGGAGGTAGGAAGACCTGGTGGTGAAATGCATCATGCCTGCAAACTATTCTCCATTTGTCCATATCTGAAGCACAAGTTCTCGGTTCGATTCCGGGCTGGGTCATCTCAAGCATATCCCCAACTTTTTGTCTGTTGCACTTGCACTGTCTGAAGAATGTCTGGTATAAAATGAGTGCTAAGAAAGAGGTAAGAAGACCTGGTGATGAAATGCATCATGCCTGCAGCCTATACGGCAGCACTGGTAAAGAAGCAGGAGGTCCCGGTCGAATCCAGGCTAGGTCATGCATCTAGTGCATCCCCGGCTTTTTATCTACTGTACTGCCTTAATAAAGTGGAGGATAAAAACAGTGATAAAAGGTAGGTTGAAAGACCTAGTGGTGCAATAAATCATGCCTGCAACTTATATGCGAGCAACCCAGTCAGTGCAGTGGGAGTCCCCGGTTCAATTCCGGGCTAGGCCATGCTGTGTAGAACTCCATTTTTACTAGTGTTCCGGCTGTATTCACAAAAAAAGAAAGAACAGGATAAAGGCGGTGTTAAGAGGGAGGTAAGAAGACCTTGCGGTGAAATACATCATGCCTGCATCCTATATAACAGCTGAGATTCAGAAATAGTTAGCGGGAGTTCCCGGTTCGAATCCGGGTTGGGTCATATTGAGGTGGAGCCCCATTTTTTACTAGCGCTCTGCCTGAATTTCCCAAAAAATTGCGCACAATTGGGGTTGAGAGAGAGGCAGGAAGACCGAGTGCTGAAATGCATCATACTTGCAACTTATAGCATAGGCAACCTCGTGGGTGCAGTAGGAGTCCCCGGTTCGATTCCGGGCTAGGTCATGCTGTGGTAGAACTCCATTTTTACTAGTGCTCTTCTAGGATTCCCAAAAGCTCTTGCATACAATCAATGCTAAGAAGGAGGTAGGAAGACTTGGTGGTGAAATGCATCATGCCTGCAAACTATACCTGTGTTTGATGGCATGTAAAAAGAGGAGTCCCCGGTTTGATTCCGGGCCGATTCATACTTGTGAGAAGCCTCATTTTTAACCACTGCTCTGCCTGGACCGCCGAAAAGTGGAGGATAAAATCAGGGATGAGAAGGAGGTAAGACAACCTAGTGGTGAAATGTATCACACCTGCAGTTTGTTGGCTGGAAATAGATGTGTACAAGCAGGAGTCCCCAGTTCAATTCCGGGCTGGTTCATATCATGAATCCTATGCACCTTTTCACTGGTGTTCCTGTATTCACGAAAAAGTGGAGGGTAAAATGAGGGCTAAGAGTGAGGTAGGAAGACCTGGTGGTGAAATGAATCACACCTTCAAACTATATTGTGGCCCTTAGATTGTAGTAAAAGGAGGAGTCCCCGATTCGAGTCCAGGCTGGGTCATGCCAGGTGTGCAAAACAATTTTTGTCTGTTGCACTGCCTGAATAAAGTAGAGGATAAAACTGGTGCTAAGAGAGAAGTAGGAAGACCTGGTGGTGAAATGCATCATGCCTGCAACCTATATTCTGTGTTCTGACCGAGTGGTTACAAGCAGGAGTCCCTGGTTCGATTCCGGGCTGGGTCATATCGTGAATCACTTTGAGGCTTTTTAATGGTGCTCTGCCTGAAAAAAAGTGGAGGGTGAAATGAGGAGCAAGAGAGGTAGGAAGACCTGGTGGTAAAATGAATCACAACTTCAAACTATATTGTGGCCCTTAGATTGTATGTAAAAGGAGGAGTCCCCGGTTCGAGTCCGGGCAGTGTCATGCTACGTGTGCAACACAATCTTTGTCTGTTGCACTGCCTGAATAAAGTGGAGGATGAAGGCAGGTAGGAAGACCTGGTGGTGAAATGAATCATGCCTGCTCCTTATCTCATATGTCAACATATTGGAAGCAGGAGTTCCCGGTTCAATTCCGGGCTAGGTCATCATCTTGTCCCGTCATTTTTTTCACTGGTGCTCTGCCTCAATAAAGTGGAGGATACAATCAGTGCTAAGAGTGAAGTAGGAGAACCTAGTGGTGAAATGTATCATGCCTGCAAGCTATGATGTGGGCTAGCTGACGGGTGCAGCAGGAGTCTCCGGTTCGAATCCAGGCTAGGTCATGCCGGCAAAAATCCTCTTTCTACGAGTGCTCTGCCGGTATGCGCAAAACAGTGCAGGATAAAGGCAGTGCCAAGAGAGAGGTAAGAAGGCCCAGTGGTGAAATGAATCATGCCTGCTACCTATTCCATTTATCCATGTGTGAAGCAGGAGTCTCCGGTTCGATTCCGGGCTAGGTCGTATCCTCAATCCAGTGGACTTTTTTCACTGGTATTCTGGCTGTATACACAAAAAAGTGGAGGGTAAAATCAGGGATAAGAGAGAGGTAGGGAGACCTGGTGGTGAAATGAATCATGCCTGCAACCTATAATGTGCAACCTCGTGGGTGCAGCGGGAGGGTCATGCGTCCAAGGCATCCTCAACTTTTATCTGTTGCTCTGCCTGAACAGAGTGGAGGGTAAAATGAATGCTAAGAAAGAGGTAAGAAGACCTGGTGGTGAAATGCATCATGCCTGCAGCCTATATGACAACACTAGTAAAGAAGCAGGAGGTCCCGGTTCGAATCCGGGCTGGGTCATGCATCTAGTACATCTCCGACTTTTTATCTACCGTACGGCCTCAATAAAGTGGAGGGTAAAATTAGGGATAAAATAGAGGTAGGAAGACCTAGTGGTGAAATGAATCATGCCTGCAACCTATTGTAATGCAGTTGTAAACTTCATGTGAAAGCAGGAGTCCCTGGTTCGAGTCCGGGCTGGGTCATGCTCGTGAGCCCCATTTTTACTAGTGCTCTGCCTGAACTGCCAAAAAAGAAGGTAAAGTCAATGCTAAGGGGTAGGTAAGAAGACCTGGTGGTGAAATGAATCATGCCTGCTACCTATCGGTTTGATTTCCGGAAGGAAGCAGGAGTCCCCGGTTCGATTCCGGGCTGGGTCATACTGTGAATCTGATATACCTTTTTATCTATTGCACTGCCTGAATAAAGTGGAGGGTAAAAGCAGTGCTAAGAGAGAGATAAGAAGACCTAGTGGTGAAATGAATCATGTCTGTAATCTGTGTGCTGCAAGTGTAGCCTTGGAAACAGGAGTCCCCGGTTTGAATCTGGCTGGGTCATGTTCAGAACTCATCGCACACTTTTTATCTGCTGGACTGTCTTAAAGTGGGGGGTAAAATCAGTGCTAAGAGAGAGGTAAGAAGACCCAGTGGTGAAATGAATCATGCCTGCAACCTATTATATGGCAGTTTGTAAATTTCATATGAAAGTAGGAGTCCCCGGTTCAATTATGTACTGGGTCATCTCCAACATATTCCCAACTTTTTATCTACTGCACTGCCTCAATAAATTGGAGGGTAAAATCAGTGCTAAGAGAGAGGTAGGAAGACCTAGTGGTGAAATGAATCATACCTGCACCCTATATGCTGAGATGCAGAAATAGTTAGCAGGAGTCCCCGGTTCGAATCCCGGCTGGATCATGTTAAGGTGGAGCCCCATTTTTTTTTTACTAGCACTCTGCTTGAATTCCCAAAAAATATTGCGTACAATTGGGATACAGAGAGGCAGGAAGACCCAGTGGTGAAGCATATCATGCCTGCAACTTGTATATGGGCAACCCTGTGGGTGCAGCAAGAGGTTCGAATCCGGGCTAGGTCATGCTGTGGTGAAACTCCATTTCTACTAGTGCTCTTCTAGGATTCCCAACAGCTCTTGCATACAATCAGTGCTAAGGAGGTAGGAAGACCTGGTGGTGAAATGTGTCATGCCTGCATCCTATACCCAAGTTTTCCATATTCGAAGCAGGAGTCCCCGATTCAAATCCGGGCTGGGTCATCATGTTGTCCAGAGACTTTTTCACTGGTGTTCCCCCTGAACTGCCAAAAAAAGCGCAGTGTAAAATCAGCGCTAAGAGAGAGGGAGGAAAACCTGGTGGTGAAATGAATCATACCTGCAGCCTATATGGGAACCCTATCAGGGAAGCAGGAGTCCCCGGTTCGAATCCGGGCCAGGCCATGCTATGGTGAAACAGCATTTTTTTTACTACGGTTATGGACGGGTCAATGGCACATCTAAATAATTTGGTGCAGGAAACTTTTTAACACCACATTTCAGCAAATATTAGGAAGCCAAAATAGTTGAATGCAGTACATGTATATTGTCCCAAAAGCTCATCCTGACTAGACTTGAATTGGTTGAGTACTGAGCTGAATTGAGCGTCCCATTGAGTGACCAAGAAATACACTGCCAAACAAGGCTGAGCATTTATCTTCCTACGCTCGTTCTAGCTGCAAGGGTGGTCCAAATTCTTTGCAGAACTGATTTATATAAGTACTACATGTGTATGCTCAAGTTTCGGAGTCAGAGTCCCACAGGAAGAGCTAGGTCTGACCTTGCCATTGACCCGTCCATAACTGTAGTGCTCTGCCTGAACTGCCGAAAAGAGAGCAGGATAAAATCAGTGCTAAGAGAGAGGTAGGAAGACCCAGTGGTGAGATGTATCATGCCTGCAACCTATACTCTGAGTGTGGCCCAGTGATTACAAGCAGGAATCCCCGGTTCGAATCCGGGCCAAGTCATACTTGTGAGAAGCCCCATTTTTTTGACTAATGCTCTGCCTGAGCTGTCGAAAAAGGCTTGCATACAATCAGTGCTAAGAAGGAATAGGAAGGCCTGGTGGTGAAAATTATCATACCTGCAGCCTATATGTGAACCCTATCAGGGAAGCAGGAGTCCCCGGTTCGAATCCGGGCCAGGTCATGCCATGGTGAAACACCATTTTTTTTTACTAGTGCTCTGCCTGAACTGCCAAAAAGAGAGCTAGATAAAATCAGCGCTAAGAGCGAGCTAGGAAGACCTGGTGGTGAAATACATCATGCCTGCGAACTATCCCAGTGTTTCATGGCATGTAAAAGGAGGATCCCCGGTTCAATCCGGGCTGGGTCATGCTGTGAAAAGTCCCACTTTTTTATTATCTGATGCTCTGCAGAACAAGTGGAGGGTGAAATGAGCAGTAAGACTGAGGTAGGAAACCTGGTGGTGAAAATGAATCATGCCTGCAAACTATGCTCTGGTATGTTGAGATTGCATGTAAAAGCAGGATCCCCGGTTTGATTCCGGCCTGGTCATGTTTGGAAATCATCCCACACTTGTTATTGCTGGACTGTCTGCAGAATGTCTGGTATAAAACAGGGCTGAGAAGGAGGTAGGAAGACCTGTGGTGAAATGAATCATGCCCGTAATCTGTGCACAGATAGCCTTGGAAACAGGAGTCCCCGGTTCGAATCCGGGCTAGGTCATGCGTCGAACACGTCCCGGACTTTTTATCTACTGCACTGCGTCAATAAAGTGGAGGATAAAATCAGGTACGAGAGAGAGGTAAGAAGACCTGGTGGTGAAATGCAACATGCCTGCTACCTATCCCATTGTCCATGTGTGAAGCAGGAGTCCCCAGTTCGATTCCGGAATACATCACGATTTTATCTACTGCACTGCCTGAATAAGTAGAGGGTAAAATCGTGCTGAGAAGGAGGTAAGAAGACCTGGTGGTGAAATGAATCATGCTGCTACCTATCTTTTGATCACCTGAAGGAAGCGGGAGTACCCGGTTCGAGTCCGGGCTGGGTCGTGTTTCAGATGAGAGCACTTTTTTCACCAGTGTTCCGGCTGTATTCACAGAAGTCTTCAATGAAATCAGTGCTAAGGGGTAGGTAGGAAGACCTGGTGGTGAAATGACTCACACCTGCAACCTATAATACGGGCAACCTGATGGGTGCAGCAGGAGTCCCCGGTTCGATTCCGGGCTGGGTCATGTCCTCGATTCGCTGTACTTTTTCACTGGTATTCTGTCTAATTCCCCCAAAAGTGCAAGGTAAAAGCAGTGCTAAGAGAGAGGTAGTAAGACCCAGTGGTGAAATGTGTCATGCCTGCAAACTATACGGTGTGTATTTTCAAGGAGTGATACAAGCAGGAGTCCCCGGTTCGATTCCGGGCTGGGTCCTAAATGTGATTGATTGCTCTGCCTTTTTCCATAACCAAATTTCCCGGAATGCATCCAAGTGTGGTATAAAATGAGTGCTAAGAGAACCCAGTGGCGAAATGCATCATACCTGAACTACTATGTGAGCAACCCGGTCAGTGCAGCGGGAGTCCCCGTTCGAGCCCGGGCTGGGTCGTCCGCTGGGAGCTCACAGCTTTTTGATGTCCCGCATTTTTATATCCCTCCAGGGTAGTCGCATTTAGAAGGTAGCAGCCCTGACTAGTGACAGATGATCATGGGTGGGTATTTTGGGAACATCCGTCATCGGTCAGGGAAAGTTATTTTGGGGTGATTTACGTCGGGTTGGATGGAGATGTAATTACAGGACGCTGTTGGATGGATGGCTAGGGGATGGATGGGGATGGAGGTTCGGTGCGATGGATAGCAGTCGGTTGGTTGCACGGGAGACATGTTCGATGGTAGTGCAAATGATTGCGAAAGCATCATATCACCCACCGTCGAACGAATACTGACAGGTATGTAAGAATACATAAGAATTTCTTTCGGCCGAGGATGGCGGAGGGTTTGGAGCGGAGAATTCGCCGAGGCTAGAAGCCGCCAGATAAATTGCAGAATTATAGTTTGCGCTCCACATCGAAAATTTTCGAATTAGTGCTGCCCGTGCTGCATTTTTACGTCGGTCTACGGCGTTCTGCTGCTGCGCGGCCTCCATCGCCCACTGATCGCGGAAGCAAACACACTACGGCGATCAGCGAGCATACGGTTGCCGCCTCATGCCGAGTGGCTATCTATTTATAGACACCAACCTCCTCGCATCCCAAAATATCTTTGTTTCTATTTTTTGCTGGACAAGGGGAGACACATGAGCCGCCGCAGATGCTCCACTCGGCTTTCCAATTCCCACTTGCTTTCCTTCTCCCACCCACTCGTTTCTTGAGAAGATTCCAGTTGAAGCGCTGAAGTCTGTGAATCCGTCGACGACAATGATACACTTGCTCTTGCTGCTGGCCGCGCGCGTGCTCGCGCAGGACCGCACGACCGAGGCGGGCGAGGCGTCCATTACCGGTGGGTCCAGCATTCTCCGTTTTACAGCGAGGAACACTGACCAGCGGGGGAACGCAGACCAAACGCTCGAGTGCACGATCTACTCGTATCCTCCGGTCGTCGCGGCCCTCAACACCTTCCCGCCCATCTGGCAGCCCGTGATGAGCGTCCCCACGAACGACACCGTCGGCCGCGCAAAGTTCCTCGCGATGAATGCGAGCATTCCGAATATCCCGCCCAAGGTTTCTTTTTCCGCTCTCGGCACTCCGCGGATGATTTGTTGACGCGTGCGCGCAGGGCACCCTCACAGGTGACTTCTCCAACTTCACGCCGACGTACAACACCGCCGACCCGGACTGCTGGTGGACGTTCCACCAGTGCGTCACGCCCAAGCTGTCCGGGCTCAGCATGGACATCGCGAATGTGCCTGAGGTGCGTTGATCCTCTCTTACTCTTTTTCGCGTCATTCTGGCCTTGGTGGCATTGGGGTGGAGCCTCGGCGGGGACCTATGCCGCTCGTCTCCGTTTAGTCTCGGGGGAGAATAAGTTTCTCTCTTTTCTGCGCTCGTCCCGCGTGCGCAGACCTCGCGTGCGCACCAGCGCCTTTACCGCGCGCCTCTCCGCATGTGGATCTCTCATGTTTCCGCGCGTGCGAGCATTTCTCCTCGCAGCGCGCCAGGCTGTTGCTATTCGTGGACCGCGGTGTCTCCGTGGACTCGTGAGTCCAACGTAGAGTCCTGCGTATCGTTTCGTCGCAGGGGCATCCTCTTCCATGCTCAAGGAAGCATCGAGCTCCAGCGCGCGCGTCCGTGCAGAGTTATTACCACGCGAGCCTCCGCATGCAGACTTCCCGTCTCCCCACGCTGCGTGCAGGCGCGGGGGTCCCTGCGCCCCCGCATCCATCCCCCTGCGCCGCACTTCTCATCTCCCTCGCTGCGTCCGCAGCCGCACCCGTGATTACACACGTTCGCCCGGTCTACGCGCGGAGCCCTCGCGGCCCCGCGTCGTCCGCGTCACGTTCTCCTCTCGTCTCCGCGCTTTACCCTCCCGTCGCCCGTCAGCCCCCGTCGGCCAGACGTGCGCGTCCCCCTCCTCCTCTCTCTTCCCCTCCTTCCCTCCCGTCCGCTCTCTTCTCCCCACCCCCCCGCGTCCGCGCGCTAACCCGTAATCAGCCCCGCACCCTCGGCTTCGGCTTCGACGACGGGCCCAACTGCTCGCACAACGCGTTCTACGACTACCTCGCGGAGCAGGAGCAGAAGGCTAGTGCGTGCCCCTTTCCTTTAGCCTCGTCATTTCTCGTCATTTCTCGCGTGCTCCCTCCCTCGTTATTTCTCGCATCTTCTCCATCCACCCATGCTCGTCATCCCCCACTTCCACCCTCCCACTTCCTCCTACTCCTCCATCTCGCCTCGCCCCTCCCTCTCTGTGCGCTTCCCCCCTTGTCGCGTTTCCTTGCCCTCCGCATCCTTCCCGGCCGCCTCCCACCACCCACGCATCCCACCACGCCCGACGCCCGTCCGCTCCCGCTCCTCCACTGCCCTTCCCACGTCCTCCCACTCCTCCATCTCGTTTCACCCCTCCCCGCCCTCCCGCCCCTCTACCTCACGTTCGTTTCTCGCCCCGTCTCTCCCCGCTGCTGGGCCGCACCTCGGCCCTCACACCCCTCCCACTCCTCCACCTCCAATACCCTCCCTCCCCTCCCGCCCCTCCGTCCCCCCCGGCCTCGCGGTGGCCTTCCCGCCCCGCCTCCTTTGCCTCCATCGCGTCCTCTTCCTCGGACCCCCTTCCCTTCCCTCCCCCTTCCCTCCTTGTCTTACCCTCTCATCCACCTTACACTCTACTAACCCTTCTCATCAGCGATGTTCTTCATCGGCTCGAACGTCATGGACTGGCCGCTCGAGGCGCAGCGCGCGGTGAGCGACGGGCACGAGATCTGCGTGCGTGAGTCGCGTTTTCTTTCTTCCTTTTTCTGTTCGCGGCTTCTATTCGTTCTGGAGTTTTTCGGTTTGGTGGGGAGTCGACGTGGCGGAGAAGACGTTCCGCACGCGGTGTCTGTGGGAGCGAAGCCAAATGCCACATGCACCCGGGCGAGCGAGTCGGAGTGTCGCCATGCGCAGAGTGTGAGCGATGCGTGGGGTGTGTGGGTCGGGCGGGCCGGGCGGGCGCGGACGCGGATGCACGGTGGGGTCGGGGCGCTCGTGGGGCGCTATGTCGCCCTCGGGTTGTTGCGGCGATGGGGGCGTCGTGCGGGGCGATGCCCGTGGATGCGAACGCGGACACGCGGTCGAGTCGCGGACGCGGACAGCGGTGGAGTCGTGGTGCTCGCGGGGCGCTGTCGGGTGCTCCAGTCGTAGGACGTGGGGGCGTAGTGCGTGGGCGTGCGTGGGTCGGACGGGTGCGGACGTGGAGAGGCGGTCGAGTCGAGGCGCTATCGTCATCGCCCTCGGGTGCTCGAGTCGTCTTCTGTGGTCGTACTGCGGGGTGATGCCCGGGTGTATGTGTGGGCGGGCGGGTGCGGGTGCGGACACGCGGTGGGGTCGAGGCGCTCGCCCGGCGCTATCCTCGTCGTTGGCGGCCGGGCCTGTCGTCTGTGGTCGTAGTGCAGGGACGATGTGTGGTCGGGTGGGCGTGGACACGGACACGCGGTCGAGGCGCTCTCGGCGTCTTCCGCGCGCTCTAGTCGTCGTCGCCCTCGGCTCTTAGTGCGGAGCGATGCGCGTGGAGGTGTGTCGGACGCGGACGCGGACACAGACGCGCGGTGGAGTCGGGCGTTGTCGTCGTCGCCCTCGGGTGCTCGAACCGTCGTAGTGCGCACGGGCGTGGGGCACGATGTGCGTTGCGAGCTGCGTGCAGTCGGGCTCTGCGCGGAGCTGTTTTCTTTCCAGCGGTGCGTTGTGGCGGCGATGGGCGTCCGCCGCTGCGTGCGTTACGCTCGAGTCATGAGTCCGCGGACAGGTCGCGAACTTTCGGAGATGATGCTTTTCGACCTTGCGACGGGGACGATACTCTTCGTTCTTCGTCCGCGCGTGGAGGCCGCCGGGATTACGTGGAGACTCGCAAGGACGCGGGGCAGCGCGGCTGTTGTACGCGCTCCCCTGGCCTGTGCGCCGCTACTGCTGCGTTCGCCGGCTCGGACGCCTGGTCCGTGTGGTGCCCGTTGCGCCCAGCTCTTTTTTCTCCATTCGCACCTTCCACATCCACTGACCCCCTCTTCCGTTCGCAGACACCTGGTCGCACCGCTACATGACGGCCTTCCCGAACGAGGGCGCATTCGGCGAGCTGTACTACACGCTGCAGGCGATCAAGCTGGTGACGGGCGTGACGCCGACCTGCTGGCGGGTGAGTGCGCTTTTTCTCGTGGGCGTGCGGCGTCCGCGCATGGCGCGATGACGTCCGCGCCCCTCCCTCGCCGCACATGCTAACCCGCGCCCGCAGCCCCCCTTCGGCGACGTCGACGACCGCATCCGGTACATCGCGTCGCAGCTCGGGCTCGAGACGATCCTGTGGCAGTACAACTCGAACGATTGGGAGGTCGGCTTGAACGGCGTGACGACGGACACGGTGCAGGCGAACTACGATGCGCTGGCGGCGAATGTCAGCGCGGGGTTGTTTGATGGGGTGCGTGCGAGCTTCTTTTACCTTTTCTCTGTTCCTACTCCCTCTCTCTTCGATCGGCGGAGGGAGGGAAGGAGGACTGAACAAGAAGGCTGACGCGTTTTGCAGGCGGGTGTGATCATGCTGACGCATGAGCTGAACAACTACACGATGCAGACGATGATCGACAACTACCCGAAGCTCGCTACGGCGTTTGACGTGCGTTCCTCCCCCTCCCTTTCTTTCCCTGGCGTTCTGAGCGCTGATGCCCCGCAGCACCTCGTCCCGATCGCGGTCGCGCAGAACAAGACGCAGCCGTACGTGGAGACGAACTATACGTTCCAGACCTTTGCGTCTTGTGC